CCATACTACATATGAATGAGTAATTCTATTGTTGAATAATAATCTGGGGCATAGTTAAACCATAGAAACCCACCCATAGCAAACTAAATGAAAGTGTCAATGACACTGTAGCTCACCTTGGGTGTGATAGAAGAGGGAGGGGATATATATATAAAGCAAGAGTATATATGGGAGAACTCTCATTATATAGCATATCTCCCATTATATACTCTTGATAATGATATATGCATAAGTTTTGATGCGAAAATAAATGTTTCAGATCTGGAAGTCTGAAATCTTGACGAGAGGTGGCACTAACGCCTAAATGATCGCCATTTTAGTTTTCGAATATCGCGCAAATAAAAACAATAAAATATTCCAGTAAAATTACTGTAACGAAGAATCTAAAACACAATATTACACGTATATAGGTATGATTGTAGAGTTGTTAACCAGTTAGACGAAATAAACATAATAGGATGTTGTCATCTCTCCTATAGGAGTAACAACTGTTTTGGGGCTAGCCTTACACATTCATATACCAAAATTTAACAAAATCGAATGAATCCAGATGGCCATTTTCCTTTTTGCCAAAAGGTGGGCATGGCTTGAAAGTAGATCGACTGGTGTGCTCCAAAATAGGACGTTCAAATCTCTCCCATAGGAGTAACAACTGTATGCAATTTGAAACATGTGGGTCAAACAGTTCTTGAGTTATCATTGACCGTAGGCAGAAACTGAAATGCATAGTGAAATTGCTAAAATATACCTAATTTGCATAATTAATAAAAAAAATCAAAACCCGTGTGATATGTTTTGGGGCCAGTCCTCATTTATTCACATGCCAGAAATGAGCAAAATCTGTTGAACCTGAACTGACTTATGGCCATTTCCATTTTTGCCAAAAAGTGGACGTGGCTCGAAAGTAGGTCGACTGGCATGCTCCAAAATAGGACGCTCAAACCTCTCCCATAGCAGTAACAACTGTATACAATTTGAAACATGTGAGTCAAACGGTTCTTGAGTTATCGTTGACTGTAGGCAGACACTGAAATGCATAGTGAAATTGCCAAAATCTACCTACACTTGTAATTTGCATAATTTGAAAAAAATATCAAAACCTGTGTGATATGTTTTGGGGCCAGTCCTCATTTATTCACATGCCAGAAATGAGCAAAATCTGTTGAACCTGAACTGACTTGTGGCCATTTCCATTTTTGCCAAAAAGTGCACGTGTAACGCAGCGTTTTACGTTACGGTATAGTTGTATACTGTAATGTCGTACTCGTAGCCAAAAGACATAGACAAAGAGCAGAGTCAAAGAATATATACCATGACTGAAGGTTTAATTTCGATTCTGATCCGTTACAATGGTATGAAGCACAAGCGGTCGTGTCCGGTGTTGAGGGAGCATTTCCCGAATCCGCTTGTGCAGCGGCTTTTATAGGCGCTGCCACGCGCGCGGCACATGCTCACGTACGCGCCGCGCGCGCCAACCACCGCGTCCGACTCATCCGCGTTCACCTGGCTTCACCACCTTCGCTCTGGATGGTGGCGGCTCCTAACGGGGAAGACCCACTATTTTGTAGCACCACCATCCAGGAGGTGGCGCCGTCTATTCGCGCGGACGCGTCACGGGCGCTCAATATGGCCGCCGCCTCGAGCGTTGATAGCTTTTCACGCTGCATTTAGCGCATCTAATCCGGCTAATCCCACCACCCGGTGACACTCCACGGTCGGGCGGTTCTAAATTCGCATCGCGTTAGCCGCGGGGCATCACCGGGTCTCGCCTCCATGCTAGGGCCGGCACCACTAATCACGACACGTACACGCCGTCTAATTGGGAGGGTAGAGTTAATCCCCAACCAGCCGGCGTGGGTGCCGTGACAGCGGCACTGCAGCGGCATGTCGCGGCGACGGCGGGCTGCCATCTTGACTGCTCAGCTCGCTGCTCAGCTCGCAGGCCGTATTGATCGCCTGTGGTTGCTAGGGGCTACGCCGTAGAATCAATGCCTCCGTCGACCGCCTGAGCTAAAAACTACTATTACATACATACTATCAAGGGCGTATTAAGAAGGAGAGCGTACAACGGTGAAATGCTGAAACAATGCTGCAGTATTAGTCGAATTAATAAACTTTGCCCGTTTTATTTTGACGATTCTTTGTGGTATTATTGATCAGCTGTCCTACCTTGCTAATATAAAACAAACCGCTTGTCCCTACGATGCCTCTACGCTGAGATAATGAGCTGTGAAAATCTGGTATTTTCGCCGAAAACCGACTCGAGATACGTAGTGGCTGCGACTGTCTCTCGTTCTGGCGATAGCTTTGGGAAACCTCACGTGTTTCCGTCATTCATTGACAATGACATTTCTTTTCCTTCTACTATCTTTTCTCGCATTTCCAGTCATTGACGCAGCCATTACTCCACAAAAACGTCTTGTTATTTATCGCCTTGGTGATGACCCGCCCCTTACGCTGGATGTAGTAACTCTGTAGTAATAACGTATCGAGTCAGCGCTACACAGCGGCGACTGGAAGCAACATGCAGTCCACAAAACGAGAGACAATTGCAGTAATATGATCTCGAGTCGGTTTTCGGCGAAAATACCAGATTTCCACCTCTCAAGGGCGTATAAAGAAGGAGAGCGTACAACGGTGAAATACTGAAACCATATTGCAGTATTAGTCGAATTAATAAACTTTCCCCGTTTTATTTTGACGATTTTGACGATATTATTGATCAGCTGTCCTACCTTGTTAATATAAAACAAACCGCATGTCCCTACGATGCCTCTACGCTGAGATAATGAGCGGTGAAAATCTGGTATTTTTGCTGAAAACCGACTCGAGACCCCTGTTGGCTGTGGTCGCGTCTAGACCATAGCAAGGAAATGCACGGTATCTGCGCATGCGTTAAAATTATAGTATGTTTTGCAAGGGCGCATGCGCAGCATGCGCAGTAGTCATCTGCGCATCTCGCCCATCGAAAACGGTCGCAATAAACAAACATGGCGGCCAATCCGGTCACTCATGGAAACATTTGATTGAAACAATTTGCAATGTAGTAACTAGTAAGTTAGTAAGACTGTTATGTGTGTCAGGTTACAAGGCGAAACAAAAAGAAAACAAAAGAGCATGGCTACTATTTCCTACGGCCTTGCAAAACAAGATTCAAACAAAAAGAAAACAAGAGAAAAACAAAAGAGCATGCGCGCATGCGCACTTAGGAGCGTCCAGTTTCGGGCGAGCGTCCAAACTCTACGGGACACCGCCATTCTTGCTCACTTGTTTACATCTCGTGCACTTGTTTATATCACGTGGAGGGATTGACAAATCAAAATGATTGCCATGCATGACATCATACTATAATTTTAACGCATGCGCAGATACCGTGCATATCCTGGCTATGATCTAGACGCGACCGTTGGCTGTGACCTCTCTCGTTTTGTGGCCAGTATAGTATGTTGCTTCCGGTCACCGCTGTGTAGCGCCATGGTAGCGCTGACTCACGTCAGTACTACAGACATCCAGCATGAGGTGGGCACAGGTGGGGGTCATCACTATGGCAATCAATAACAGACGTCATTCATTCCATTTGTCAATCATTTACGGAAACACGCGAGGTTCCCCCAAGCTATCTCAAAGCGAGAGAGGGTCACAGCCAACCGGGATCTCGAGTCGGTTTTCGGCAAAAATACCAGATTTTCACCGCTCATTATCTCAGCGTAGGAGCATCGTAGGGACAAGCGGTTTGTTTTATGTTAGTAAGGTAGGACAGTTGATCAATACTACCGCAAAGAGTCGTCAAAATAAAACGGGCAAAGTTTCTTAATTCGACTAATACTGCAACGTGGTTTCAGCATTTCACCGTTGTACGCTCTCCTTCTTAATACGCTCTTGATACTATCAGGAGTAGATAATAGGGAGGAGTGTGACATCAATAAACAAGGGAAATTTGTCATTTACTAGCCTTATAATACCTACGATTTACTACACGTAACTCATCCAACTTGAGCTCAAATCGGACACAGTACATTCGTCCATCATCGTACGAAATCGTTTCCTCGTAGACACCCGCAATCCGTAGATACAGCCTAAAACGTACGACACGATTCTCCATTCTCTGGCCATCAATCCAACCCATTGCGCGCCTATAATTCAAACAAAAGGCAGCTACCTAACGCGCTATTGCTAACTGAGCGAGGCATGTGGCTCGCTGGGAGATTAGGCATCAACACTCGGCGAGATAACCTTTGACCCGGTACACAGCAACACAGGCCACCTCTGTACATAGCTCAGGCCCGTAGCCAGCTTTCTATTGGGGGGGGTTCGTTTTTCAATGTTGGCAATTTGCTCGGCAGGGGCGT